GTAATGAAAAACAACTGAAATTGCCTAATTTGAACATTGAAACTCACACTTCTATTATTATATCTGCTTCCAGAGTGCCCCTGAAAGCACAGTATTTAATATGGTTATTTATATCCATTCATCTTTTTATACTTGGTTCACCTTGGTTTGAATAAACTGGCATTTTTCAAAATACTTTCCATAGTGTTTGTTTTATGCATTTTTTCTTTTAAAAGATGGGTTGAGGCCGGATGTGGTGGCTCATGCCTGCAATCCCAGCGCTTTAGGAGGCCGAGGTGAGCAGACCATTTGAGGTCAGGAGTTAAAGATCAGCCTGGTCAACATGGTAAAACACTGTCTCTACTAAAAATACAAAAATTCGCCGGGCGTGGTGGTGGGTGCCTGTAATCCCAGCTATTCAGGAGGCTGAGGCAGGAAAATCATTTGAACCTGGGAGGCGGAGGTTGCAGTGAGCTGAAATGACAGAGCAAGACTCCATCTCAAACAAAAAAAAAAAAAGAGAGAGATGGGATAGGGGCAAGAGAGATAATCTCAGTTTAGCTTATCGAATGCTGTACTAATCATTTTAACTACAGTTTACTAGAGACTTCAAAATTTGATTGCTTCCTGCTGAACACTCTAGGGAGAAAGACAAAAAAAAAAAAAAGAAAAAAAACAAAATTTGATTGCTGTTCCCCTCCCAAAGATAAAAATCTAGCACACAGAATTAATTCATGCCAAGATGTCAGTATTGGTATTCTTTAAAAATAATCCCAATCTGGGGCTGGGCATGTTGGCTCACGCCTATAATTCCAGCACTTTGGGAGGCCAAGGCAGGTGGATCACTTAAGGCCAAAAGTTCAAGACCAGACTGGCCAAGATGGTGAAAAAACCCCGTCTCTACTAAAACTACAAAAATTAGCCAAGCATGGTGGCATGCACCTGTAGTCCCAGCTACTTGGGAAGCTGAGGCATGAAAATCACTTAAACCCAGGAGTCGAAGGTTGCAGGAGGCTGAGATCACCCCACTACACTCCAGCCTAGACAACAGCGTAAGAATCTGTCTCCAAAAAAAAAAAAAAATCCCAATCTGATCCTCAACAGCTTTGTGACACTGGACATCTAGCTTCTGTGTGCACCAGTTCCTCATCTGTAAAATGGGGTTAAAATAATAAACTATATAATTACTTCATGGGTGTGGTAAAAAATACATGAGATTATGTGCTTGAACCATGGTAGGTATTCAGTAAATATTTGCTGAGTGAATGAGTAAATAAATTAATGCACATAAAATGCTTAAGACAGTGCTTGCCTCATAGCCAATGGCTAACAATATCAATACCACACCAGGCCAGGTGGCTCATACCTGTAATCCCAACACTTTGAGAAGCCAAGTCAGGAGTCTGAGACCAGCCTGGCCAACATGGTGAAACCCTGTCTCTACTAAAAATACAAAAATTAGCTCGCGCTGTAGTTCCAGCTACTTGGGAGGCTGAGGCAGAAGAACTGCTTGAACCCGAGAGGCAGAGGTTGCAGTGAGCCAAGATCTCACCACCGCACTCCAGCATGGGTGACAGGAGCGAAACTCCATCTCAAAAAAAAAAAAAAAAAAAAAAAAAAAATTACTAATTTACCCGATAATCTTCTGTTATACTTTCAAAATAATCGATGATTTAAAATACACAGTAGTTACCTCCTAAAAAATATTTACACTTACCACTTAATTTGAAATACATACTGAGTTAAATTAACTCAGTTGCTACTAATTTAAATTTGCATTTAAATTGCCTTACAGAACATACATTCCTCTGCCTTTAACACAAGAGGAAGAATAACTACTGAGAGAGCTTACCGACAGATCAGACAAAGCAGCTTTAAGCAGATTTAATTGGCTCAAGATTTTCATTGTTGACATCAAATTAGTCAACAGAATAATTCAAACAGAGTACTACCTAATGTCTCGTTTCTGTTAGTAACTCCAATCTGAGAGCATTAAATAAGCACTGATTAAGCATTGTTTCCAAGAAGGAAAACTGAATAGTTAATTCTACGCCAGTGACAAGATCCAAAGGAGTATGTTCTTTGTGGCATTAGGACTGGACTCCTGTACTTCACACCTTAATAGTCTCTATATCACCTGAAGCAGTTGGCGTACTCCAGGCCTTTAGATTAGAGAAAATACTAAGCAGGATTCTAATAAAAAGAATCCACGTTAATAAGCTTAAGAAATTAAAATTGCTACCTATACATAAATATCATTGATCGACCATCAAAAACTCTGAGGATCTACTATGTGCCAGTGAAAAGAACTGAGGAGGGCATTAGCTAAAACAAACAGCTTCTGATCAAGAAGCTTCCAGTCAAATTAGGTAATTAAGATATTAACGGAAGCTGGTCAAGTTAATCAAAAATATGATGGGTACTGGCATTACAAGCTACAAGATTTCTGAGAAAATAAGAAGCTTTTGCTACAACTAGATAAATTAAGATATGTGATAGGCTCAAGCCTGTAATCCCAGCACTTTGGGAGGCCGAGGCGGGTGGATCACGAGGTCAAGAGATCGAGACCATCCTGATCAACATGGTGAAACCCCGTCTCTACTAAAAATACAAAAAATTAGCTGGGCATGGTGGTGCGTGCCTGTAATCCCAGCTACTCAGGAGGCTGAGGCAGGAGAATTGCCTGAACCCAGGAGGCGGAGGTTGCGGTGAGCCGAGATCGCGCCATTACACTCCAGCCTGGGTAACATGAGTGAAACTCCGTCTCAAAAAAAAAAAAAAAAAAAAAAGATATGTGATAGTGTGACTTTCCATGAACATGAGGTGGTATTGGCAATAAATGCTATCAAATTTTAGAGAAGAGATTAACTGTTGCAAAGTCACCATAAACTTCAAAGAGGGAGAACTGAGCTGAGTCTTGAGAGGTGGAAAAGATTTAAATAGTTAAACTGCATAAGAGAAAACGACAAAAGAATGGGAACAAAGATGCTGAATTGGGAATATGGTCATTAAATATTTATTAAATGCCTACTATACATCAGTCACTGTGTTAGGTACTAGATATACACTGGAGAACAAAACAGATGAGTTCTCTGCTTTTGTGGAATCTAGTGGGGAAGACATAATAATTATGCACACAGATATATCATTATAAACTGTAATAAGAGCTATGAAAAGAGGCAACAGAAGCCAGTTATAGTGAATAATAGGAAAGGAGATGAGAGAAAGTATCCCTATTTATACGTAAGCTCGGGCCTGAAGGCAGCCATGCAAAGAGCAAGGGGAAGTGTTCAAGGAAGACAGAGCTATGCATACAAAGGCCCTGAGGTAGGAAACAGCTTGTTGAATTTAAAAATAAAAAAGGCCAGTGGCTCATGCCTATAATCCCAGCTACGCTGGAGGCCAAAGGACAGCTTGAGACCAGCAGTTTGAGACCAGCCTGAGCAATAGTGTAAGACTCCCACCTCTAAAAACTAAATAAATAAAATAAGAATAAAATTAAATAGCTGGACACGGTGGCTCATGCCTGTCATCTCAGCACTTTGGGAGGCCAAGGCAGGCGGATTACAAGGTCAAGAGATCTGAGACCATCCTGGCCAACATGGTGAAACCCCATCTCAACTAAAAAATACAAAAATTAGCCAGGCATGGTAGAGGGCGCCTGCAGTCCCAGCTACTTGGGAGGCTGAGGCAGGAGAATCACTTGCACCCAGGAGGCAGAGGTTGCAGTGAGCAGAGATCCCACCACTACACTCCAGCAGGTGACAGAGACAGACTCTGTCTCAAAAATAAAATAAAATAAAAATAAATAAGAAGCTAGCATAACAGAAACATGATGGGCAATGAGATTGGCATAAGATGCCAATTGCCTACCCAAAAGGTAGGCAGGGGCTGGGCCATACAGGGCATTATAGGTCAAAATAAAGAGCTGAAATGGCTGGGTGCAATGGCTCATGTCTGTAAACCCAACACTTAGGGAGGTCGAGGTGGGTGGATCATGAGGTTAGGGGTTCAAGACAAGCCTGGCCAAGATAGTGAAACCCTGTCTCTAGTAAAAATACAAAAATTAGGCTGGATGCAGTGGCTCACGCCTGTAATCCCAGCACTTTGGGAGGCCAAGGTGGGCAGATCACAAGGTCAGGAGTTCAAGACCGGCCTAGCCAATATGGTGAAACCCCATCTCTGCTAAAAAATACAAAAATTAGCTGCGCATGGTGGTGAGCACCTATAGTCCCAGCTACTCCACTGCACTCCAGCCTGGGTGACAAAGTGAAACTCTGTTTCAAATACACACACACACATACACACACACACTTGCCAGGTACTGTGCCGGGCGCCCATAATCCCAGCTACTCAGGAGGCTGAAACAGGAGAATCACTTGAACCCGGGAGGCAGAGGTTACAGTGTTTAAAAAAATAAACAGGTATAAAGGGCCACATGCAAATATGGCAGATCTTGAATGAAAGATTACCCTGATCCAGCCTGAGCAACAGAGCCTGAGCAACAGAGTGAGATGTCTCCAAAAAAAAAAAAAAACAACAACAAAAAAAAAAGAGCTGAAGTTTGGATTTTATTCCAAATCCAAAAGAAAACCACTAAAACTTGTTGCACACTCACACTAGTGTTAAATAAAAGGAGCCAGACCAAAAATTATACTATATGATTCAATTTTTACAAAGTACAAAAAAAGAGCAAAATAACATATGCTGTCAAAAGTCAGGATGGTGATTACCCTGGCTGGCAGAGGGAAGACAGAAACTGAAAGGGAACTGGATGGGAGCTTCTAGGTACTTAACAACACTGTTTCTTGATCTAGGTGCTGCTTACATGGGTACATTCAGTTTTCTGGAAAAAATAATTATCAAACTCTACTTTCACATGCACTTTTCTGTATATGCATTTTTTTCTCAAATTCATGTTGAAATCCTACTGTATATGCATTATATACTTCAATAATAAAGTTTTAAACATAATATACATTTTTTAAATATTATTTTGTCCAGACAAAAACAGGAATAGACTGCTCACTTCCACAGCACAAATACTAAAATTGGAACAGTACAAAGATTAGCTTGTACCCTGCACAAGGATGACATGCTAATTCATAAAGCATTCATATTTTTTTAATTTTTTTATAAAAATAAACAGGTATAAAGGGCCACATGCAAATATGGCAGATCTTGAATGAAAGATTACCCTGACAGAAGCTTTCGGATGTGTATAAAATAGGGAGGGCGGGTGCAGTGGCTCATGCCTGTAATTCCAGCACTTTGGGAGGCCGAGGTGGGCAGATCAACAGGTCAAGAGATCGAGACCAGCCTGGCCAACATGATGAAACCCAGTCTCTACTAAAAACACAAAAAATTAGCCAGGCATGGTGGCATGCACTTTTTGTCCCAGCTACTCAGGAGGCTGAGGAAAGAGAATCACTTGAACCCGGGAGGCGGAGGTTGCAGTGAGCAGAGATGGCACCACTGTGCTCCAGCCTGGGCTACAGAGCAAGACTTCATCTCCCAAAAAAAAAAAAAAAAAAATGGGGGCAGGGCGGATAATTCAAATAGCCAGTGATTCAAGTACCATGTTTATAAAGAATAAGGTCAGATGCGGTGGCTCACACCTGTAATCCCAGCACTTTGGGAGGCAGAGGCGGGTGGATCACAAGGTCAAGAGTTTGAGACCAGCCTGGCAACATGGTGAAACCCCATCTCTGCTAAAAGTACAAAAATTAGCTGGGCGTGGTGGCATGTGCCTGTAATCCCAGCTACTCAGGAGGCTGAGGAAAGAGAATCACTTGAACCCACGAGGCAGAGGTTGCAGTAAGCCAAGACTGTGCCATTGCACTCCAGGCTGGGCAACAGGGCAAGACTCTACCTAAAAAAAAAAAAAAGAATAAATGTTGGGGCCAGGTGCCAGGTGCCACTCATGCTTGTAACCTTAATACTCTGGGAGCTCAAGGTGTGAGGACTGCTTGAGCCGAGGAGTTCAAGACCTGTCTCTACAAAAAAAAAAAAGGTTCCTGATTAGCTGGGCATGGTGGTACACACTTGTAGTCCCAGCTAATCAGGAGGCTGAAGAAGAACTCCCTGAGCCCAGGAGTTAGAGGCTGCAGCAAGCCATGATTGCCACTATACTCCAGCCTGGGAGAAAAAGCAAGATCCTGCCTCTCAAAAACAAAAACAAAAAAAAAAAAAAGAAAAGAAAGAAAGATGGCTGGGCAAAGTGGCTCATGCCTATAATCTCTGCACTTTGGGAGCCTGAGGCCAGGAGATCATGAGATCAGGAGTTCCAGACTTGGCTGGCCAGCATAACGAAACCCCACCTCCACTAAAAATATAAAAAATTGACCAGGTGTGGTGGCAGGCACCTGTAATCCCAGCTACTTGGGAGGCTGAGGGAAGAGAATCGCTTGAACACAGGAGGCGGAGGTTGCAGTGAGCCAAGATCGCACCATTGCACTCCAGCCTGGCAACAGAGCAAGACTCCATCTCAAAAAAAAAAAAAAGAAACGCTGGGTCTGGGAAGGAAGTTGTGCAATACTAAAGGATTAACTATAAATTCCTTAGAACATAAGGAAGAATCTCTAGAAATTAAGAAACTAATAGATGAAAAAATAGCAATGCCTAAAAAGGTTAGCAATGCTTGTTACGTTGTGGTTCATGTTTTAATATGGTATTTTCAAGCTCTTCAGAGGTTCCAGGCATTTTCTAAGATAGAGATAGAGACTTGAGCTAAAGCATACTGGGAGAAGTTCAATGATTTCAGAAATTATGAAAAGGGAAAAACAATCTTCCCAGCAAGCTTCAATTGCTACCTAATGTATTCTTCTCTTTGTGGAATATTACTTAAAACAAGTGAGAGATCAACACTAAGGATATTCTGTCATAGGTGGAAAGGGAAGGCCTTCAACCACTTTACAGCATCTCCACCCATAAGTATTATTTGAACAACCATAATTCGTTAAGCACTTTTTAAATACAAACAAAGATGTTTTATTTTTCAGGAGCTACCATTTCAAAAGAAATAAAATAAAAAGTTCAACTCCTTAATAAATATTTGGGTAACTTTTTCCCCAAAATGTATCTTCTGTCCTAAAAGTAACTAAAATCTAGTCCCTCCTGAATTTATTCTTTTCCCTAATCCCAATAAATGTCTCTCTCTCTTATTCTTCCCATTTACCTCACCATTAAATACCTAAGGTTTCCCTATTTCCTCCCACGTTGGCCCACTAACACTCTAATATTCATTCTGATCTCACAGTATTGAATCTGAACACAGAAACCTCATAACATTCTCAGGGATAAATCTGCTACCCAATTCCTATAAAAGATAACACACAGTTTAGAAAAAAACAAACACAGTGGTGGTAATTATACAACTGTACACATTTGCCAAAGCTCGTCAAACTATACACTTAAAATTGGTGAATTTTATTGTACGTAAATTATACCTCACTAAAGCTGATTTTTTTATTTTAAGAATGCATTAAGGCAGTGCATGATGGCTCATTCCTGTGATCCCAACACTTTGGGAGGAGGACACAGGAGGATTCTCTAAACCCAGGAGTTCCAGGAGACCAGCCTGGGGAACATAGGGAGACCTCATCTCTACAAACAGAGAGTTAGCCAGGCATGGTGGCACACACCTGTAGTCCCAGCTTCTCAGAAGGCTGAGGTGGGAAAATCACTTGAGCCCAAGCAGTTGAGGGTGCAGTGAGACTTCTTGACATCACTGCACTCAAACAAAAAAAAAAAAAAAAAAAAGGGAATACATTCATTCATTCATTCATTCATTCATTAAATTTGCCATATATCTATTATATGCATCAAAGTTTATAACACATCTTTCAGTTTGGACTATCGGGGTCCTATCTATAGTGTACTTTACTCATAAATTGACACTGTCCCCAAAAGCTGTATTACATAAAAAATGGTTCTGTTTCTGATAATAAATGTTACCTTAATGATGGCCTCTTTACACTGGAAGGGCCATTAGCTACCCATCAACTTCCACTACATAAATGAAATATATGATTACTTAAATACTCTCCATTTTAATAGAAATGCTTCCATCATAAGAAATAAGTAGGCCAGGCATGGTGGCTCACACCTGTAATCCCAGCACTTTGGGAGGCTGAGGCTGGTGGATCACTTGAGGTCAGGAGTTCAAAACCAGCCTGTCCAACATGGTGAAACCCCATCTCTACTTAAAATGCAAAATTAGCTGGGCATGGTGGTGCATGCCTGTAATCCCAGCTACTCTGGAGGCTGAGGCAGGAGAATCACTTGAACCTGGGAGGCAGAGGTTGTAGTGAGCCAAGATCGGGCCGCTGCACTCCAGCCTGGGAAACAAGAGCAACTCCATCTCAAAAAACAAAAAAGAGAAAGAAGTAAGCACCACTTGGCACTGTGGCTCACGCCTGTAATCCCAGCTCTTAGGGAGGCAGAGGTGGGAGGATAGCCTGAGCTCAGGAGTTCAAGACCTGCCTAGACAATATAGCGAGACCCCTTTCTCCACAAAAAGGAAAAGAAAAAAAGAAAAGAAAAGAAATAAGTAAGCACCTAGTGGCAAACAGTACATATCACTACTACAGCTTTATGTTTGTCTTTTTAGAAGAAAAAAAAAGCACCCTTCAAGTGCTTGCTGACAACACTGCTGAAAGAAAAGGCAATAGTACCGGAGAACAGACTTAACTGACTTATTCTAGGGCCCACAGTGACCCAGTCTGAGTCAAAGGCCAAAGATCTCGTGATTCCCAAGGCACTATGCACAGTGGAGAGACAACCACAGGCCTGAGAAACAGACCTGGGTTTGAATTCCAGCTCCACTTCTTACCAGTGGTGTGTGTGAACTTGGGACAGTCACTTTACTTTCTGACCTTTGGCTTGTTCATCTATAAAACAGGGATGCCAACCGGCAGCAGTGGCTCATGCCTGTAATCCTAACACTTTGGGAGGCCAAGACAGACAGATCACTTCAGGTCAGGAGTTCCAGACCAGCCTAGCCAACATGGTGAAACCCCATCTCCACCAAAAATACAAAAATTAACTGGGCATGATGGCACGCACCTTTAAGCTCAGCTACTCAGGAGGCTGAGGCAGGAGAATCACTTGAACCTGGGAGGCAGAGGTTGCAGTTAGCCGAGATCATGCCACTGCACTCCAGCCTGGGTGACAGAGTAAGACTCTGTCTCAAAAAAAAAAGAAAAAGGGGGATGCCAACTACCACCTCACAAAATTATTGGGAAGACTGTAAGATACCTACCACCTAGCACAATTACTGGGCACAGAATAGGCAACTCAACAACAGTTTTTTTTCTTAGTCTTAAGAAAACACCTCATAATCAAGGAAGGCTAATTAACAATCTGTATTATTAATTACTGGTCAACAATGAACCTGTGTTTGCTGCCTTCTTCATACTCCAACCCATTCCCTTCCCAGCTCACTATTTCCAGAACTTTAGTTACTATGTTTAGAAAAGTGATTTAATTTTAGAAACCTGGAAAATTCTTCTAGGAGTAAATTGAGCAAAACCTTAATCTGCCCCCAGGGGAATTCTGAGCAAAACAATTATTTCTGACAAGATTAGAAATCTTCTACGGCGGTAATTCAATTTAACTACATGAATACTACCAAAGCTGCAAAGTGACAGAAGGCAATCTGGAACATACCTTCCAGATTCCCCAAAAATAAATGTCCTCCTAAAATCCAAACCCCTCCCTAATCTGAGGTAGTCAAATCTTACTATGTGATCTGAATTCTCCCGGCTCTGACAGTAAGCAGTCCAGCTCCTTAGGCCAGAACTGCAGCCGTTTGTAAAAGAAATACCCTGAGCAAACCCCATGCCTCAAAACATCCCCAAAAGGCAGGGAGGTCCAGAGAGTATCTTCTCCTCCAACCACAGATAAGGCACCAGGGGCTCAGCAGCACAATCTTTCCCCCAAGGTCATTCGAGTCAGTGAAGGTGCGACGGCGGAGCTGCAAGCTGCCTCTGGCCTTTTGGAAATCACACTGCAGGGGTTTGGGGGGTGCCTAATCTCTTCCCCTCTCCCACCCGCAAGGGTGAGCACTGGCCTCGGCATTTCCGAAACAAGCCACAACAAGCTCTGCAGTGTTAGGAAAGGGGCTGACGCGATGAAGAAACAGTTGCTCCAAAGCAAGACGGTCTTCCTCGACGAGCAGAGCCTCCTCCAAGGTTATGCACAGAAACCGCAGGGACCTCCGAGAACTCTAAATGGGGCTCCGAAGCCCCCGCGCGGCCTCTCCGGGAAGCCGGCTTCCCTGCAGGCAGGATCCGCAGCCAGAGGCCACCGGCCCCAGAAACCGCACTTCATTCCTGCGCTCCGGGAAGCCATGGCTCCTTCCCCGCCCGGGCCGCGGGGCGGGGGCCGGGGGTGCGCGGGGAGGCGGGCCCCGCGCTGCGGAAAGTTCACCGCGGCGGGCGGGGGCGGCCCCGGCTCCGCTCGCCGGCGTCCCCCTGCAGATTCCACCATTAATTAGTCCTAAGGACTGTCTACTGGCAACTTAAACAAAGCGAATGCCTCGAATTCCTTCCCGGCCCAGCGGTCTGGCTGCGAGACCAGCGGAGCGCCCGGGACCCGGGCCGGCGCGGCCGACAGCTGCTGCGGCGGCGACGGGACCCCTCCCCGCCCGGCCCGCGCCCCGCGCCCGCAGCTGGCCCCGCACGCCGGCCAGACGCGCTCCCAAACCGCCCTCCTCCTCCTCCCGCTGGAGCTCCCGGGCCCTTCCTGTCTGATCACTTCCTTCCTCCGGTGCCCGCCGGGCCCCGCGCAGCCCCCTCCCCGGCCGCCCCCCGCCCCAAGCCGGCCCGCGCCCCGGCCCCCCAACCCCAAACTCGACCCCCGAAACTCTTCACCGCCCCCACGAAAATGTCTCCTCCGCGTCTCTGCCCCAAACATTTCTCCTCAGAGTCTCGCTCCCACGAAGAAGTCTCCTCAGAACCTTCCCTCCCCCTTCCGAGGAAAAAATCTCCTCAGAGTCTCTTCCTCCAACTCCACAAACATGCGCCGGGTCTCGCCCCAAAAGGTCCCCTCCTGAGCCCCTCCTCCAAAATCCACTCCAACTCTCCCCCAACTCCACACCCCCATCCCTCCCGGCTGCGCCCGCGGTTTCCTCTGCCCCGTGGCCCCTGGTGCCCCGACCTCACCGGGGACCGGCCCCCCACCCCCGCCGCACTTCTCTCCCAGCGCCCGGCGCGGCCCCCCGAGCCGCGCTCCCGCCGCCGTCCCGCGGACCCTCACCTCGGCGACCCCGGACCGCGCTCCCGCCCGCCGAGGGGTCCTGCGCTCAGCTCCCAGCGGCCGGCGCCTCCTCCGGCTCCGCGGGACTGACAATGAGGGGCGGGGCCAGATGGTGACGTCAGCGTTCTGGAAGGCGTGGTCTTTGTGATGGGCGGGGTTGGTCTGCAGGCCCCCGCCCCCTCCGTCCTTTTTTTCCTTCCCAGGACTTAGACTCCACCAAGTTTTTATTACCTCCCAAGCTAGGTCCCGTGGTAGGCAGGCGCCCTGGGAAATCGCAATGGAAGACAAGACTTCCCGCTTTCAGGAGGGACACTTTCGGCCCGCGTGGTGGCTCACCTCTGCAATCCCAGAACTTTGGGAGGTTGAGGCGGACGGATCGCTTAAACTCAGAAGTTCGAGACGAACCTGGGCAACATGGGGAAACCATCATTATCATTATAAAAAATACAAAAATTACCCGGGCGTGGTGGCGCGCGCCTGTAGGCTAAAGCGGGAGGATGGCTTGAGCCCAGAGGCTGCAGTGAGCCGTGATCGTGCCACTGCACTCCAGCGTGGGCAACAGGATGAGCCTCTGTCTCAAACGGAAAAAAAAAAAAAATGAGGGCCATTCTCAGTGGGGTTGTGAGGGTTAAATAAGATAATCAATGGAAAGGACTAGGACCTGGTATGGAATATGACTCAACAAATGCTATTTCTATTACTACGCAAATGCGGAGAAGGAGGAGGCATGGGTTCCAGTCCCCAGCTCTGCTACTAATTCATTTTGTGTGATGCTAGACAAGTACTTTCCCATCTATATTCCTGATTTTCATCTTCTTTAAAATCGGAGGAGGGAATAAACAAATGATCTCAAAATCCCTTCCGATACTTCTATGACATATTTCCTGTAATTCTACTACCTAAAAGGTATCTAGGGCCCAGAGAAGTTGGGAGGAGGGCTTCGAAGACAGCCCAAGACCCACACCCAGCATAGTACAGGCCATAGCCAGAGACTGCTCTTGCTGCGGATGCCCTCCCACACGCTGGCACGCAGCAGCATTCACAAGCCAGGACACAGATGGGCTGAGAGCTGCTTCCTCTCTGACTACAGCAGCATGGTTGGTCTCTTGAGACATCTCTTGTGTAAGCTCTTTATTGCCTGTGGAATAAAGGCCCAATCCCTGGCCTGGTATGATCACTTCCTACCTTTACACAAACACACACACACACACACACACACACACACACACACACTGTAAAGTTTATCCAAACTTCTCTTAGCACACCCACTGCTTTCCCACATTTGACCTTTTGCTCAAGCTCTTGCCTGCTGTCTCATCTCCCAGTTTCCCCCAGCCAGAAGGCAATCCTCCCTGCTCTGAATCCCCAATGGCAGTGTGTTTAACCCTCATCTGGGCATGAACACTACAACTTATAACCAACTCACCGCCCATTTGTTTCTTAGCACTTCCTGGAGGTCAGAACCCACACATGTCTGTGGAGCTCAAGTTTTGATGCCAGAAAACCCTGGGATCATATGTCATACTAGCTGTCTCTCAGCCTCAGTCTTCTCATCTGTAAAATGGGGATAATAATATAGTCTTGTAGTGTTTGATTTAAAATCACCTAAGATACTGTATGGAAAGCATAAGGCACAGTGTTCCACAAACAATATGACTGTCATTCTATTCTTTCTTTCTTTCTCTTTCTGTCCTTTTTTCAAACAGATTTTCTCTCATCACCCACGCTGGAGTGCAGTGGCGCAATCTCAGCTCACTGCAACCTCCGCCTTCCAGGTTCAAGAGATTCTCCTGCCTCAGCCACCAAGTAGCTGGGATTACTGGTGCTAGCCACCACACCTGGCTAATTTTTGTATTTTTAGTAGAGACAGTATTTCACCATGTTGGCCATGCTGGTCTCAAACTCCTGGCCTCAGGTGATCCATTCACCTTGGCCTCTAAAGTGCTGGGATTACAGGTGTGAGCCACCACGCCAGGCCCCTGTCGTTCTTATTTTCAATGGTATTATATTGACCAGGCACCATGGCTCACGCCTGCATTCCCAGCACTGGGGGAGGATCACTTCAGTACAAGAGTTTGAGACCAGCCTGGGCAACATGGCAAAATCCTGTCTTTACAAAAAATATTAAAAAATTAGCTGGACCTGGTGGCATGCATGTAGTCTCAGCTACTCAGGAGGCTGTGGTGGGAGGATCCCTTGAATCTGGGAGGTGGAGGTTGCAGTGAGCCATGATAATGCCACCGCACTCCAGCCTGGGTGACAGATGGAGACCCTGTCTAAAAATATATACATATATTATACTATATATATTATTCCTATCATGAGTATTTCTAGTTCCTAACACCACACAGCACGCCTGTGGCAATCCACCCAATCATTTCATGTGGAAGACTTTAAGATCTTGAGAAAGGAAGAGGCTTGCTGAAAGTGGCCCTGCGAAGCATTGCCATTGGAATAGGAACCAGCACTCCAGTCTGCAGACCCCAGATGGATTCTGTAGAGTCACATCTGATGCCCCAGGGCATCTCTGTCATTCAGCACGCCTCCAAGCTTGACCCTTTGCTCAAGCTGTTCTCCTGCTGTCTCATCTCCCAGTTTCCCCTAGCCAGAAGGCAATCCTCCCTGCTCTGAATCCCCAATAGCAGCGTGTTTAACCCTCATCCAGGCATGAGCAGATGTGGGTTCAGCTGAGCTGACCTATTTCTGCTTCGTGCCTTTCTCCTCTCAGCTTCCTTATAGAGACGTGGATCTGTGTTAAACTGCCCTTGGCATCTCTGCAGTCCTCTAGGAGAGCTGCAGTGAGGCACTGGGTGTTTCCAGAGCACTGGCCTGTGGGAGGAGGGGAAGAACTTTGGGGTTCTGACGAATTTCCTATGCTGCAGGCAGGCACATGGCTATCCTGAAATGCCTGGCCCAGTCCTCAAAAGCCCCTAATAAATTATAGCTTATTTTTAGAAAAAAGATTTAAAAACACCACTTCCTGTGAAAAGTAAGCATGGCCATAAGATTGCTGGAGGCAAAGGAAGGAACTTTACTGAATTGCTCCTAAGGGCTAAAGCTGATTCCAAGTACTACAAATCCTTGGAAGGAAAAACCCAGGATAGACAAGGGAGGTTCTGAACAAAGAACTTTCTCCCTGGGACCCATGATCCCAGCAACGATGTATTCATTTATTTATAGCAAAAGCTTTGGCACAGGAAAATCGGGATTCAGAACCCAGATCCACCACTTACTAGTTATGTAACCTTGAGCTTTTAAGTCTCTACCTCAGTTTCTCATCTGCAAAATGGAAATAATAATAGTACCTTTCTCACAGTGCCTGTTCAGGTTAAACATGTGAAAGAGCTTAGTTCAGGGCCTGTTAGCTAGTTCATGCCAGGATATAGTGGTTGCTGTTACTGTTTGAACATGCCCTTGTCCTCCCAGCAAGACCTCCCATAGGCTGGACTCTGAACTGGAAATAGAGCTAAATAGCCCTGCCCTCAAGAGGCTCCATTAGTAAAAGGAAAGGCATAGATTTTTGTTTGTTTGTTTGTTTGTGTATCTCTCTTTCTTTTTTTAATTTTTTTTTTAAAGATAGGGTTTCACCATGTTGGTCAGGCTGGTCTTGAACCCCCCAACCTCAGGTGATCCACCCACCCTGGCCTCCAAAGTGCTTGGATTACAGGCGTGAGCCACCATGGAAAGGCATAGATTTATATGATTATGCAATAAAAGGTGTCTATTGGGTATGGTATAGTTAAGTGAAAAGAATAAGAGTAAGTTGCCGAATTACAAGTGTAGTAGGATTCTATAGTTATAATTTGAAATATATGCTTATTATATGCATAGAAAAGTATGCAGACTATAATAAGACTAAATAGGGCTAGGCATGGTGGCTCACACCTGTAATCCCAGCACTTTGGGAGGCCGAGGCTGGTAGATTGCCTGAGCTCAGGAGTTGGAGACCAGCCTGGACAACATGGTGAAACCCTGTCTCTACTAAAATACAAAAAAAATAAAAATTTGCCAGGATTGGCAGCATGGGCCTGTAGTCCCAGCTACTCGGGAGGCTGAGGCAGGAGAATTGCTTGAACCTGGGAGATGGAGGTTGCAGTGAGCCAAGATTGCACCACTGTACCCTGGGCAACAGAGTGAGACTCTATCTCAAAAAAAAAAAAAAGAAAGAAAGAAAAGAAAAAAACCTAAATAGGCCAGGCACAGTGACTCACACCTGTAATCCCAGTGCTTTGAGTGGCCAAGGTGGGAAGTACAGTGGCAGGAGCTGGGCTCACTGCAACCTCCGCCTCCTGGGTTCAAGCAATTCTCCTGCCTCAGCCTCCCAAGTAGCTGAGATTACAGGCATGAGCCACCACACCAAGATAATTTTTGTACTTTCAGTAGAGATGGGGTTTCACCATGTTGCCCAGGCTGGCCTCAAAAGCCTGGGCTCTAGTGATCCTCCAGCTTCGTCCTCCCAAAGTGCCGGGATTGCAGGCATAAACCACCACACCCAGCCAAATTTTTATTTATTTATTTATTTATATTTTTATTTTGAGACAGAGTCTCACTCTGTCATCTAGGCTAAAGTGCAGTGGTGCAACCTTGGCTCACTGCAACCTCCACCTCCCAGATTCAAGTAATTCCCCTGCCTCAGCCTCCTAAGTAGTTGAAATTACAGGTGTGTGCCACCACGCCTGGCTAATTTTTGTATTTTTAGTAGAGACAGGTTTTCACCATGTTGGTCAGGCTGGTCTAGAACTCCTGACCTCGTGATCTGCCTATCTCAGCCCCCAAAAGTGCTGGATTACAGGTGTGAGCCACCGCCAGACATGGTGGCTCATACCTGTAGTCCTAGATACTCAGGAGGCTGAGGAGGGAGGATTGCTTGAGTCCAGGAGTTAAGAGGCTGCAGTGAGTTATGATCTCACTACTGCACTCCAGCCTGAGTGACACAGAAAGACCCTGTCTCTATTAAATAAACAAGAGCTAAATAGAGAACTTTCAGCTTTTGTCTTTCTTTTTGCTTTGCTGGGTTTGTTTTGGTTTTAGTTTTGTTTTTTTGAGATAGAGTCTCACTTTGTCACCCAGGCTGGACTACAGTGGTATGATCTTGGCTCACTATAACCTCCACCTCCCAGGGTCAAGTGATCCTCCCATCTCAGCCTCCCAAGTGGCTAGGACAACAGGTGCCTGCCAACATGCCCAGCTAATGTTTTACTGTGTATTTTTGGTAGAGATGGGATTTTGCCATGTTGCCTAGGCTTGTCTCCATCTCCTGAGCTCAAGCCATCCACCTGCCTTGGCCTCCCAAAGCGCTGGGATTACAGGTGTGAGCCACTGTGCCTAGCCGGCTTTGCTGTTCTCTGTGTGTATAAGTTGAGAACTTTCAAAAAAGATTTTGCTATGTAGGAAAGGGGGTAAAAATACAGCTATAAGGTATACCAGCAGTGGCATCTGACCCA